AGATAGGGTCTTGCTTTGTCACCCAGGCTGGAATACACTGGCACAATCATGTCTCACCACACTCTTGACCTCCCGGGTTCAAGTGATCCTTCCTCTTTGGCCTCCCAAGTAGCGGGATTACAGATGCGTGCCACCATGCCTAATTTTTAAATTTTGTGTAGAGACAAGGTCTCACTCTGTTGTCTAGGTGGGTTTCGAGCTCCTGGGTTCAAGCAATCCTCCTGCCTCAGTCTCCCAAAGTGCTGGAATTACAGGCGTCAGCCACCATACCTGGCCAAAAATCATACATTTTCTATGATAAATTGTATGGATAAATATGAGTCTCATTTAGGAAAATATTTTTTAAATGTCCACATATACCCTTCAATACACGAATATTCTCAAAGCTGTCTTTAAGTGGAAGAGTTCTTGTTTGGGTGTGCATGGATCAAAGAGTTTGTGTTGCCCTTGGAGGGGAGATCAGAATGAGGAGGGACAGGGTCAGAGAGTTGCATTCTGAGAGTGAGAGGGGTAGTAGGAGTTGACTAGTTGCCTCACAGAAGAAGAAAATAATTCACTAGTTATCAGCATGAAGTGGTCTATATTAAAAGGGTCAGGGCTATGACTGGTGGCAAATGGTCTGAGGCCTAAAGCAGCGTGTGGGGAGGGAGTGGCTACAGAAGGCCTCTTGCTGGTGGAATTTTCAGATCCTTTCAACCTCTTTTGGTGCAGTCTCATGACCTAGAGTTGGGCCCTTAGTCCTGCCTGAGAGGAGAAAATGCTATTATGAGGCCCATTGGAACCAATTCTAACTAAACTTCGGTATATTGAGCTTGAGCGAACTCTTCCCACCAGGTTGGCTACCTGATGGTTTTATCTGAGCTCCCATGCCTGCTTATTTGCATTGATAGTAGTAGTGTGCTAGAAAGGCACATTTATTTCTGCAGCAGGAAAAAGTCATTGCTTGGATGGCATTGAGATTAAGGTGAATACAGCCACCTTCAGGTCTCATGGCAGCCATCTTTGAACATCTTGAAATAGTGTGTAAATCAGTATTTAGCTTGATTTTGGAGTGAAAAATGGTGAAGAGCACTTTACTTTGATTGAAACGGGGCTGACTAGCTCCCCGAGCCTCCCAGTGTGGGCCCATGAATACCACTTTGGAAGCAAGAGGCGTGCAGTTTTTTGCACCACTACCAATGAGAGAACCAGCAGAGGAGATACTAGGTCAAGTACTTCAACTCAAGAGGAACTAGGGGCTCTTAAGTTTTAGACATATTTGCCTTATCTGTGTACTGTGTTTTCACATGTAATGGTTGCATTAGAGCTATAACCATTTTATGAAACTGGGGCTTGAGGGAACATGCTCCTGCCCTCCTATTCTGTAAACCCTGGTGAGTTGGGGGAGGAACCGAAGTGGGTGTGAGAACTAGCCTACATTGGCTAAGTTGTGCAGAGGGAAGTAGCTTGGGCCAGAGTAGTAGGGCAGCAGGGGCTACAGCCCAGTGGCAGTGACCCATGTGCTGCGAAGTAGTTTTTTTTTTTTTTTAAACAAAGTCTATTCATAGACCCCATGCTCCTGGTCAGCCTGGTTGCCTTGGAAGTAAAGTTAGGCATTTGAGAGCCCCACAAACCATCTGGTCCTGTGGCTTCCTCTCTGCCCAGCTCCACCCTCCCTCTGAAATCCTTTTCACTCATAGAGGACCAGGCTAATGGTCCTCTTTCACCAAGTCCTTCCTGGTGATCACCCCTCCATCTCCTGCATATTTCTTATATTAGAATCCTAGAATGTGAAATATTGGAGCCCATATAATTCATTCTACCATGTAGTACAGTTAGTTGTTTATCCCCTGCCTCCTCCATTTAAACAAAGGAGAAGGGATGGAGAGAGTTGTGTGTCTCCCTCGCTGTTTTCTCAAGGAGCTTGACAAAATAACCAGATACACACATAAAATTTGACTTTATTTAGCATATTTAAGAAGAATATATCAAGGACAGATTAACAGCACCCATTTAAGAAACACAAACATTACTTAATAATATTTAGTTAGATCACAAACATCAATCTCTCTGTATTCCCCAAGCAGGAGTCCGTTATTCCTGTCCAGCAAAAAATGTATCCAATTAAAGCCAACCAATACATGAAACCTTGGCCTTGGGCTGAGTCTCTGGGACTACCGGCCCTTGTAACAATATTGATGAATTTGACGGGTATGTGGGGGTTTCTCTTCTTGCTGAGGGGAGGAAGATAAAGTCCACCCCTTTTGTGCACCTGAAGGTAAGTTGTGCCAATGGGAACCTGGCCCCGGAATTATAGTTTGACAATCCTTTGAAAAGGCACTTTTAAATTACAAATCCTTTTTTTTAAGGAAAAGAAAATTTTTGAATTCAGAATTTAAAATACTAAAGAGAATTGTTTATTGATTCAATGCATTTTTCTGTGGTTGTCAGTCTCAAAGCAGTACATAAAATTTGACATTAAAGGTAGTTTTAGAAATGACTTAATGAGGGTGTGTGTGTGTGTGTGTATATTTTTTCTAGTTGTAATATTTTATTCTTAAAATATAATAAAATCATTTCATATTTCTCTTTTCTTGTTTGACACAAGTACCATTGATATGCAATTGTAATTCTCAAACAGGCATCTCACCACCTCTCTATCTAGTTACCAATCAATGCTCCATCTTATCTCTCAGACAACCAGCCAAAACAAACAAACACACAAACAAAAAACCAGAAGCTTTGGTACTGCTCTAGGAGCGCAGGGACGGTCACATTATGGATCTGCTAAATGCAAATCCTGTCAGTCCACAGTCAGGTACTGGTTGGGTCTTGAGAGTGCAGTATTCTTCTCATCCTACTAACTGGACTCCAACAGCCTCCCCTGGGGTCCTTGCTTTTTAATGGGGGAAAAGATTGTCGTCTTTGAGTTTTCATTCTATATATTCAGTGAATGGAAAACAGGTCTACCAGTGCCAAGTGTATTGTGGAGAACTGCCAGCAAGGACTTCAGCCAAGGTGATTTGTTCACATTAACAACCAATTGTACTAGAATAAGTTCTCACCTGTCATATATTGTACCAAGGATTTAAGAAGTGAAAGGCACCACTTTCCGCCACCCCACTTCAGAGCCATTTTACATATCCTGTAGTATACACTTTAAAAATAAAATTAAAAAATGCACTATGTTTTACTTCAGGAACTAACCAAGGTGTGGGTTACACAAAGAATTCTGCATGCATTTTGTTAGTTAGCTTTACATGAACATATTAGCCCACTTGAGGATGACACTATCTACAAACACATAAAATCTAATATCTAGCACCTTAGCTCAAAGAACACTTCTTTTTATATACAATTACAACTTACATTTAGGAGAATTACTACAAAAAAGAATACACCACTGAAACAAGACAAAAATACCAAGCCTTTAACATTAGAGTTGTAACACAGATGGGGGGGTGGAATCCACTCAAGTTTGAAGCACTGAACTAAAACCAATCTTGTTTTTGTCTATATTTGAGAATAAGAGAGAGATAGTAATGAGTCCTCAAACATAGCAAACCCTCCGTTGAGTGTACAGGTCACTGTGTTTTCCCCTTGGTGTGTGTACTCAGAACTGTGGAGGCGTTGGGAAGCAATGATGGAAACACTGGCTCCTACTGGCAACCTTCATGTACCTTGAGGATTCTTATTCTACTTACCAAAGATCAACGGACTGGCCAGTGACCTGGCAGTCAGTGGTCAGGCTCAGTGGATTTTAGCTGTCCTGTGTCTTCCTCCGACCAGTTTTGTTGCTTATGGCAGAAGAGTGCTGTAAGCAAACTGGGCATTTGCCTTAGAGGAAGAGATCGCCCCTAAATAATTGGAAAGAATTTATGACAAAAGTTTCTCTTTGTTTCGGATTTTAGGCTATAGTCTGCTGTTTTCAGCTCATTGCTTGTTGTCTCCTCATACCTAAGCTTAGAGGGCATTGGAGGGGCTGAGAACATCGGTCTAGCCCATAGAAAATAAAAGAGAGACAGGGGTAAGGAGGGAGAGGGTTAAAAGCCGTGACTGTCCAGATTTTTCTCTCCTTATCTTGGCACTGGCTAGCAGCCAACTGATCCTGTAATCTTTTGTCTATTCTAGAAGGAAAGGACATTTTGCTTAGAGAAAACTCTCCTGACAGCATGGGGTTTGTTTTAAAGAGAAATACAGCAGAAAAGACATTATGAGGGGGAAACACTTCTGATTTTTTTCTCAAAATATGGGAAAGGGTTGTTATGAGAGAAAAATACAATCCAATAGTTTAAATTGTTACTCTTTGTTTCATCCTGACAACCCCTGAGGGTTTTGTCTTAGAGAGTTCAAATTACCAGATGATGCATAATTTTTTCTCTTTTAAATGATGTGTTTCAAACACTTTTAAAAGGTTTTTGGCAAAGTCGAAGAAAGCCTAGTTTAACCACATAAATTATTCTTCAGGTAGCATGAAAAAAAATCTTTTGTAGTAACTTTACCTAGCTTAATTGGCTAATTATGTACACAATAAGGCAATGTTAGGCACCTTATAATTTTACAAGTAAAATGTTTTTAATTTGTTTTTTTGCTGAAGTAATTGGACAGTATCTACAGGACTGAATGTGCCCCTAAAGATATGTTGTATTAGGTATTTTTGGGTAAGAAATGAGGTGCCTACCTCCTCCTAAGTCATAAAGTGGTACTTTTCCTTACCTGTTGAGTTTGAAGTAGGTATCCCATCACCTCTAAATTGGACTGGAGTTGGGGAGGAGAGAGAAAAATACCTTTAATTGCTGGTCACTCCTATGGGTCGCTTCTCTCCTTCCCTGCTTCCATGGGCCACCTCATCCCTG